AGATTTTGCGAATTTCATGAGACTCCTGAAGAAGACCAAACTCCCATCCAAGAGAAGATTCAAACTCATGGAAAAGGAAAAAAGCGATTTCTGCCCCCCAGCCAACTTCTATTTGAAAACTGGGCCTGACGTCTATGGTATGGAATATTTCCATTGGGCAGCTCGGGCTGGCTGCCTGGCTGTGCTCCCTCCCAGCTCCTGCACACCTGCTCGTTAGCTGGATATGAGAAACTGAAGAAAGTCCTTGATTTCTTAGCAACAACTGAAAACAACAGTGTTATCAACATTCTTCTCGTACTAAATCCAAAACACAGCAGCCGCTGGGAGGAAAATTAACTCTATCCCAGACAAAAGCAGGACAGGTGACGCCAGCTCAACCTGGCACTCTGGCAAAGCCCGCGAGCTGAGCCATTGATCATGCTGTCCAACATCAATCCCCCTGCCTGAAGACTGCCTGACTGTTCTGCTCTAGATGGAAGGATTGAAGGATTGAAGGAGACTTCTCTTTGGCTGTTATTTGCTCTGTGATTCAAAATATGGACTTCTGCTGGTGACTCTGGATCAGCAAAGACTGGTCCTCAGAGAGGTGGATATTTTCTTGGCAACAAGCTCAGCAAAAAAAGAAGAAAATCCCAAATTCTTGTGGCGGTAAATAGTTGTTTAAAAAGTGACTGTGACTTTCATCTCAGCAATGTTGATTGAAACCTTTGCAAGTACACAGAAGTACAAATATTTCCTGTTCCACAACGCCAGCAAAATGCTAATACTCAGATATTTCTCCAGAAAGCACCACACTGACCCGCAGCTTGTCACTGCAGCCTGATGCGAGGGAGGCTGCGATCTCAGGGCCGCGCCTGTACCCTCCATGATTGTCATGCTGCTCTGTCTCCTGAAGTCTCATGGAGACCTCGTCCCTTCCCAGCGGCCCACAGGCTCCGCTTCGACCCCACGTGAACCACCCCTTCCCAGCTAAAGGTTAATTACTGCAGGGGACATTTCCATCCAAGCTGTTGCCCACAGGTTGCAAACCCTGCCTGAGTGCTATTTTTAGACCAGCTCCTTCGTTGCTATTGATCCCAGTCACCCTCTGTTAATTAGATACACACAACACACACAGCATTTGCAACTCATTTATCAATTCCGTTCAGCACCTCCCTCCCCTGAGATGTAATTTGGAGCCCTCCTTGAATCATGCTATTGATCTTTCCCAGCAACTTGGCTATAGGTTTCTCTGTGTTGCAAACTATTTATAGATCCTTCTTCTTCTCCTGCTTTCCCTTCGGGAAATCAGAAATGGGCAACAGTAATCAGACTTCTATTTTTAAGGAGTTGATCGAAACCAGATATTTCCTCTTTTCTCCTTCTTTCCCGTCCTTCCCCCTGTTGCTGTTCTGTACAGGCTTCCTTTGGCAGGCGAGACCTTCCTGCTCCACCTGGTGCTGTAATGATTCTGGTAATGCTCAGGTGAGGTGATGCAGAATTTGCTATGAGTCAAATCATGTTTGCTGAATTAATGTAATTAACTCCTCCTCTTCCTCCCTGCGTCCAAGAGTTTCACAAAGGGCTTTGTGACCTGTTCTGTCTGCTCAGCCTGAGGTGCACCTTTCAGAGGGCTGCAGTCTCGGAGACTGCCTTCTCAGCCTGTGCATTTGATCCATTTGCAAGGCACTGGGTACCCATTGTCACCTTGTACCTCAGAAGAGGCACCCAAAAGCCTGGGACAATGTGCAGTCAGGAGCAAGATAGATGGAGTTGGTTTTAGGGATGGAGGATGACAGCAACAAGCCCTGGGTTCCTAGGATTTAGGTTCCCTCCTAAAATAAGGGAACGTCACCTGAAGCTCAGAGGTCAGAAGGAGCTCAGCCTTCACTGAGTAAGGTTGAAAATCCCAGCTCTAACGCAGGAGGGGGCATAGAGTTACCATGGGCAAGGTGACACCAGGAGACAGCCTTGTCTAAGGGCGTGCATGAATGCACCCCCAGGCTTCTGTGGTAACACACCTACTGGTGAAAAGCTGACGGTGAAGCAGGAGAGAGCTGTGCCCACAGCAGCTGGACAGGACGCGAGGAGAGGCCCTGGCCTGAAGCCCCAGGTTCCCAGTAGCCCCAGGGCAGCTGTGGGGGTTGAAGCCACCCCGGGCAGCATGGCGGCTCGGGAGTCGTGAGGCTGGGCCGTGTAGAGCAGGGTGAATGGCAGAGCTCAGAGGGTTGTCATCAGTGGCGCTGAGTCTGGTTGGAGGCCGGTAACTAGTGGTGTCCCCCAGGGGTCAGTACTGGGCCCAGTCTTGTTCAACTTCTTCATCAATGACCTGGATGAAGAGTTAGAAGGTACCCTCAGCAAGTTTGCTGATGACACCAGACTGCGAGGAGTGGTGGATACACCAGAAGGCTGTGCTGCCATTCAGTGAGACCTGGACAGGCTGTAAAGTTGGGCAGAGAGGAACCTGATGAGGTTCAACAAGGGCAAGTGCAGGGTCCTGCACCTGGGGAGGAATAACCCCATGCACCAGTACAGGCTTGGGGCGGACCTGCTGGAGTGCAGCTCTGTGGAGAGAGACTTAGGAGTGCTGGTGGACGACAGGTTAACCATGAGCCAGCAGTGTGCCCTGGCTGCCAAGAAGGCCAATGGGATCCTTGGGTGCATTAGGAGGACTGTGGCCAGCAGGTGGAGGGAGGTTCTCCTTCCCCTCTACTCTGCCCTAGTGAGGCCCCATCTAGAGTGCCGTGTCCACTTCAAGAAAGATGAGGAGCTACTGGAGAGAGTCCAGCCGGGGGCTACAAAGATGATGAGGGGACTGGAGCGTCTCTGCTAAAAGGAAAGGTTGAGGGAGCTGGGCTTGTTTAGCCTGAAGAAGACAAGGCTGAGAGGGGACCTAATAAATGCTTATAAATATCTCCAGGGTGGGTGTCAGGAGGATGGGGCCAGACTCTTTTCAGTGGTGCCCAGCGACAGGACAAGGGGCAACGGGCACAAACTGAAGCAGAGGAAGTTCCATCTGAACATGAGGAAGAACTTCTTCCCTCTGAGGGTGACGGAGCCCTGGAACAGGCTGCCCAGGGAGGTTGTGGAGTCTCCTTCTCTGGAGATATTCAAGACCTGCCTGGACAAGGTCCTGTGCAGCCTGCTGTAGGTGACCCTGCTTCGGCAGGAGGGTTGGAC